TGCATACCTTTCCTAATTTAAGCCATTCAATGTTCCCATGTTCTGTTCGAACAACTGACTCTTGGTCCATATACAGGTTTCTCATGAGCACAATTAAGTGTTCTAGAATCCTCACACTTCGCAATGTTGTCCGTAGCTTGTCATGATCCATACAATTGAAAGCCTTTGCATAGTCAATAAAGCACAGGTATTCAGTGCTTTCAGCCAAGATCCATCTGACATGAGCATTGATATCCCTTGTTCCACGGTGTCTTCTGAAACCGGCTCAAACCAATGTTTGCTTGCAGCCGTTTCTATATTACCTTTAGCAAAACTTTACTCTCATGGAATATCAAAGATAATGTCCTATGATTTCCGCATTCCTTTGGGTCACCTCTTCTTTGGAATGGCACAAATACGGATTTCTTCCTATCAGTTGACCAGATAATTGTCTTCCAGATTTCTTGGCATAGATGAATGAGTGCCTCCAGTGCCGCCTTACTTTGTTGAAAGATTTTAACAAAAACTCATAGCGACCCTTTATAGGCTTTCTGAGGAGCAGCTGGTGAGTTTGAACCACCAACCTTGAAGTTCAAACAGAACTTGAGGTCGAGTGCTTATCCTCTGATGCCACACTGGGACAGCCTAGAAAACCCTGTGTGACAGTTCTGCTTGTCACACAGGATCCCTGTGGTTTTAAATCAACTCAGTGGCACCTAGTAACAATAACAGGGCAAGGCAGTGATGGGTTTCTTTTGAGTGTTAGTTCATACAAGACTTGTACAGAATGCTGCTTGGTTCTGTGCCGTCTTCATGATCATTATTGGTATGTTTGAATTATTGTTTCGGCCTTCCCATCTAGGGAGCTCATCCTCAGCACTGTGTGTCAGACTTCATTGTGCTGTGATCCATAAGGTTTTCATTAGTTAATTTTCAGAAAATAGTTTGCCAGGCCTTTTTCCTTCCTAGTTAGTCTTAATCTGAGAGCTCCATTGAAACCTTTGCACCATGGATGACGCTGCTGATATTTGAAATACCAGTGGCATAGCGATATAGCAACACATAAGTCACTACAGTCTTAACACACTGAATGTAATTCCCAACAATCTTCTTTCCTTCTAATGACATTTTGTTAAGCTGCTTCTGTGTGTGCCAGTGACTACAGACCCTCATGGAGATTTTTTCCTTCATGATATTCTCTTTTTATTTTTAAGTTTCTATTGTTAATTAAGGAGCTCTGATAGCGTAGTGGTTACAAATCGGGCTGCGAACCACAAGGTCAGCAGTTGGAAACTACCAGCTGTTCCGTGGGAGAAAGGTGAGTCTTTCTGCTCCTGTAAAGATTTACAGCCTCGGAAACCCTGTACAGGGTCACTATGAGTCGAAACCGTAATTATGTGCTAGTTTACACGGGAGAACATTAGCTTACATTCATCCTATCGTATTTTGTTTCATTGCAATGATCACAATCCCCTCCATGCATCATCAAACAACTAAAGGTTACACCCCGCAAGCCTGCTCCTTGGCAATCAGCACACAGCCCTCTCTCCCTCCCTGAGTCTAGAGTCCCCAGCCGCTCCATCTCTGGCATCACTGCTTCTCTGGGTAGGGTCCCACACTCATTTGTTCTCCCTTGATGGTCCCACGGACCTCCACTCCTCAACTACAAAATCAACCACTCCCTACCATTTGTTACAAAACATCTACCTACCTTTACATCTCCAACCCTCACAGTCAGTCCTGATAACAATTATTCACTATTGTACTATAAGAGTCGTATCCCCATCTCCTTTCATCAGCCCCGTCCTGACAGATTGGAAACCACTCAGTGGAGATTCTACCTTCCCCCACACCCTCTGGAACTAGGCTCCCTCTTGAAAACTTGCAAGCCAGTCACTTCTTGCCATTGTAGGCCCCCCATTTTGGGCAGCCAATGTCTAAATTGCCCATCCCTGTCAACCCTGTGTACTGAGGGGGTGGGAGTGATCCTCGCTGTAAAGATTTATTCCCTTTTTTGAGCTCCTACATCCATATGTATAGGACAAGTTCATCGAATTGGAACAGATTGCTCTTTTTTTTCTCTTCTTTCTTCTTCTAATCAAGTTCTGATCATCCAGCCATTGAGCCAGGTCAAGTGGGTACTATCTGCAAGTTCAGGTGTTCTTGTGCATCTGCCCTCACTTCATATCAGCTGGACGTTTCACTCTCTGCTCTAGCCTTCTGTGACCATGTCACTGTGTCTGGGCCTAGGAGTCCCCAGGTCTTGTCATACTGCTGGACAACCAGGTCTTAAGCTCACAGCTTCATTGCTGTTTTTCCCCCACTTCCTCTTATGGGTGACCAGTCAGACCATATGCCTACTTGCATATTCCCCTTGAGGTGTAATCTTGGAAGGGGGTTTCCTCTGAAGGGACCTGGCCTCTTGCGTTGATGGCTCCCAGGCATGATTTTCTCTTTTCTAGGAAAACCTAAAAATCAAAACCCCTACCATTGACTTGGTTCAGATTTACAGTGACCCTGCAGTAGTATTCCAAAGGAGTGGCTGGTGGATTTGAACCACTTACCTTGTGGTTAGTTGTCCAGTGCTTATCTATAGTGCCACACCAAGACCAGGAAGCTATACCTGAATTTCCATATGTGATGAAATGACTCTTAGACCTTGTGCGTTAATAGGACCAATTATATATAAATGTTCTTTCTTATGAAGCGTTTAATCATAGTCTCACTTCATTTAACATAGCAATAGAACTGTTGGAATACTTTTTGTAACTGAAAGTTCTAGTAACTGTAGACTTGTGTGTGTGTGTAACTGCTGTTAACAGTTTCTTTCATCACTTTGTTCTATTAGATAAGCACTATTTTGTTAGTGATTTTGAAATATCTTATGGGTTGGAATAAGGAACCTTTTATGTTTAAAAAGTAAGTACTTTATTATGATAATTACTTAACCTTGCAACTGTTTTTTAATGTCTTAAATATTGATTTGTATATGTTGAAAGTCTTTATAGGAGTCTTGATTGTACTGTAGGATAAGCATTGGACTACTAGCCGCAAGGTTGGTATCCAAACCCACCAGCTTCTCCAGGGAGAAAGATGAGGCTTTCTGTTGCTGTAAAGATTTACAACCTATAGGGAGCACGGTGGCTCTATATGATAAGCACTGGACTGCTAACTACAAGGTCGATGGTTCAAGCCCATCCGCCACTCCATGGGAGAAAGATGAGGTTTTCTGCTCCCATAAAGATGCCATAATAACCCTTTACATGGTGCTATGAGTCAGCACAAATTTGAAGACACTTAACAACATATAGTTGCTTTGGAGCCCTGATAGCTTAGTGGGTTAAGAGTTGGGCTACAAACCACAAGGTCTGCAGTTCAAATCTCCCACCTGTTCCATGGGAGAAAAATGAGGCTTTCTTCTCCTGTAAAGATTCACAATGTCAAAAACCCTGTACAGGGTTTCTGAGGCTGTAAATCTTTAAGGGAGCAGAAAGCCTCATCTTTCTCCCGCGGAACAGCTAGTAGTTTTGAACTGCTGACCTTGAGGTTTGCAGCCTGATTCGTAACCACTACGCTACCAGATATTTTTTCTGCCAAAATTATAGCATTATTCGCAAGCCATACAAAATTATAAACTTGAAAATTATCCTGCTATATTTGGTCATATATTTATTTAACTCACCCATAATGTGATATGGCTAAGGAGCTCTAGTGATTACAAGTTGGGCTGCTAATCTCATAGTCAGCAGTTCGAAACTACCAGCATATCAGCAGGAGAAAGGCTTTTTGCTCCCATGAAGATTTGCAGCCTGGGAAACCCTGTACAGGCTTGCTGTGAGTCAGAACCAATTCCATGGCGGCACCTAACTACCACCAGTGTGATGGCTGGAGTCTGGTATAGTGCTCTGAGTTAATGTGCTAGACTGCTATGTGGTTTGAACCACAAGGTTGGCAATTCAAGCTCACCAGCTGCTCTTTAGAAACCCTACATAGGGTTGCTATGAGTTGAAACCAACTGGACAGTACTTAACAAAAACAGAAAATGTGATGGCTGGAGTACTGGTATGGCATTGTGGGATAATGCACTGGACCGCAAGGTTGGTAGGAGCCACAAGGTCAGTTCAAACTCACCAGCTGTTCCTTGGAAATCCTAGATAGGGTTGCAGTGAGCGAGAATTGTGACTCAACGGCATTTGACAACAACAACATGATAGCTGGAACTGCAGTTCCCTTAGATCAAATGAATTCGTGGCCTTAATGGCCCCTGGGCCAGACTGTCCCCACCCGTACTATACAGGGTTGCTATGAACCATAATAGACTCCACGGCATACAAATACCACCACCATAGGTTCACTGTGAGTTGGTATTGACTCAGTGGCAGTGGATTTGGTTTTGGAATGAAGGTCTTTATATGATAAATTTGCAAAACTTTTTATTAAAAGAATATTAATCTGTTATATATTACTATTTCTTATGGACTGAAAAATTGTGTAAATTCTGACCATACACAATTCATTTATAGTTAAATATTGAGTTTTCTGCATGTTACTGACTCACCAGTCACTCCTCAGAAACCCTATACTGTTAAGTTGGAACCGACTCAGCAACAGTAAACAGCATCTACTAAGAGGAAAGAAAAAAAAAAGGAAACAATCTTTTAAATTCTTAAGTGCATACATGGTTAAGTATTGTCTATTTGTAAAGCAGTTTTTAGGGTTTAAATTTACTGGATGAGAATTTGCATTTTGACTAGGGAAGAGAATTCTCACAATTTGAAACCAGCTTTGATTAATCACATGCATTCTGGATAAGTGACACTAATTTTGTTTTCTGCAAAGAACTATACTCAGTGGCTGTGGGGTGTTTTTTGTTTGATTTGATTTTTTTAAATATTTTATTCAGTATAAGTTACTTTAAAAGTAAAACATTTTTCAGTAACTTTTAGGATGAAATGAAAAATAATTTATCAGTGTATGTTTTCATTTATATTGCATACTTTTTATTCTTCCTTTCTGAACAGACACTTCTTGAATATGCAGAGAAATGGAAAACTTCAGATGATCCCTTACCTTTATTGGAGGTATACACAGTGGCTATCCAAAGTTATGTTAAAGCACGACCTTATCTTACCTCTGAATGTGAAAATGTAGCATTGGTTCTGGAACGCTTGGCATTGTGAGTAGACCTTTGTGTAAATAAAAAACTAGATTTAGCTTTTTAGGAAAAAAAAAAAAATTATATCCCAACTCTAAGATAGTTTAAGTAAATTAGGTCTTGTTGATGTTAGAATTACTGGTTTCCTTTTACTTTCATTTTTAATAATTATCTGTATCCTTACCAACATTTTGTTTTTTAGAAGCTGTGTTGAACTTTTATTGTGCCTACGGGTTGAGTTATCAGATAAACAGTGGGAACAGTTTCAGACACTGGTACAGGTGAGACTATTTGTTTGCCAGTTAAAGTTTAATATAGGCACAACGTGTCCGTTTTCCTTATTCTTTAAAAAATTATTTGGTTAAACTAAAACATCAACGTAATGACAAACATTAATGTGCTGCTCTTAACACTAGTGTCATACGTATAGTGTTGTACGTATAGTATATGTCCAATAAATGTAGGTAGATGGATATCCATTTACGTAGTTTGAGTGAGTATTTCACTATTCTTAAAATCTTATAATTAGAACTTTGGTAGAACAGAAGGGAACACAAGCAAAAATACTCATTTGGATTTTAGAAATAGTTTGTTTAACTGATAAAAGTCTACACTATGCTTTATAAGAGCTTAACATATTTAATCCTTATGAAAAGAACATGTGGATAGGTATATCTTCCCCATTTTACAGGTGAAGTAACTTAGGCTCATACTGTAATATATTTATCTGCCTAAATGTATGCAGCTAATGTCACAGAATAGTTCTATGAACGAAGATTTTTTACTCTAAAACCCGTGCTTTTTCTCCTGTATTTGAAAGCATATATTTTGTCTCTTTCCTTAATTGTGCAATTTTTTAGTTCTGTTAATATATGATACTTGCACAAGTTAGCAGTTACTTAGGAATATTAGTTTTATTCCAAATATTAAATTTGATTATGTTGGATGTATTTTAACTTCAGGTAAATTTTGATTAATTGGTTAGTGTTTTAAAAAGAATATTCCTACTAGGTAACTTCAGAAGGTATATGTTGTTGTTAAGTGCCATTGAGTTAGTCCCAATTCATAATGACCCTGTATAGAGTTTCCAAGGAGTGGCTGGTGGGTTTGAACCACCAACCTTATGGTTAACAGTCCAGTGCTTAACCTACGGTGCCACACCAGGACTCCCAAAAGATATATTGTTGTTGTTGTCATGTGCCGTGGAGTCGGGTCCGACTCATACTGACCCTGCACAGGGTTTCCGAGGCTGCAAATCTTTACTAGAGCAGAAAGCCTCATCTTTCTACCACGGAACAGCTGGTAGTTTCGAACTGCCAACCTTGAGGTTAACAGCCTGATTCATAACCACTACGCTACCAGAGCTCCTTACCAGGTATATCGATCTCCCTATATTCCTACCAGAATTCTTAAAATGTCTTTTGATCTTACTTTTTTCTATAGGAGATTGTTAAAGAGGATTAGTCTCAAATTTTGGAAGCACGTGAAATAAACTTTAGGCAGAGAAATAATCTCTGTTATTTTAACATTGGGCATTAAATCTACATTAAATACAAGTTCCTTGGAAATAGGAATCTTTTTTAATATCACAAGGTTCCACTTAGTATCTTAAACATGATAGATGTTTGGTGGTAGTGTTGGGTGGTGGTGGTTGTGTGCTGTGGATTTGGTTCCAACTTATTGGACCCTGTATAGGGTTTCCGAGGCTGTAAATCTTTACAGGCACAGAAAGCCTCATCTTTCTGCTACGGAATGGCTGATAGTTTCTACTGTTGACCTGAGAGTTAGCAGCCTGACTCATAACCACTATGCCATTAGAGCTCCTTTTATATATATATAATGGATCCTTAATAACTGCTAGTTGAATCAAAGTGTCTTGTCCTTTTTGTCACTTTGCAACTAACTTTTTGATCCTGCAGTTTATACTTAAGTATATCAATAGCTTGTGTCATAGATTTTATCCTTATTGTTTATTTTTAGATAAATATTTCAGAGTGTTTCATTGTTTTATATTTAGAACTGTGTACAATATAATTGATTAAATTGTTTACACACAAATATAGTAGTTTTTATATAGTAGATTTTGTCTGCATGCTTTTGAATTTCCCTTTTTGAGACAACAGGACAAGTTGATAGGTTTTATATGGGTAACTGAAATCGAACCAACTCTTTTAAATCCTTCCAGGGTAGCCTTCAGTTACTCCTCAAAGAAAGTTTCTTGACAAACTTGAACTTTGTTGTAATATCTTTTGAGTAAGAGATTTTTGTGTGAACAGAGCTTCAAGAGTTTCTATGACACTTTGCTCTCTTTCAAGGGTTCCTTCAGTGCTTGCTTATACCTATTTAGGAATATTTGTTTCTTTTTGCTTGTGTTTTAACTCTTTAAACATTTCCTTATCCAACTAGAGGATAAAATCCATAAAGAAGGGAACTAGTTGCTATCTTTCCCAGTGTTTTACCTATAGAAATTCTTAGTGAATGTATTCTGAATTGAATAAAAGTGATTAGTCTTTTGTGGCCTGAAAGATAAGCTAGTTGCCTGAACACTTACAGGATTCTGTGTCAGTTTTAATATGGAATTGCCAAAGTCATAAAAAGGCATGCATTTAGTTTTCTTAAGTCCCATATTTCAGAATATTTGTAATTTGTCACTTTGACTTTGATGTCAATCGGAAATTTGTTAACGATAGCAAATTTTGGAGAAAAAATATTTGGCAGCACCTAGAATATATGGTGCATATGGTCTTTTACGGTTCTGGATATATTTCATAGCCTCTTTGAAAAATAACCTTTCTTGGCTTAGATATATATATATTTTTTAATTTTAATAAATTTATTTAAGGCTATAATTAATTTAGTTGACATCCTTTAGATTCATTTTTTTAAATCAGAAGGAAAGTTATTCAACATTTTGTAACATGACATGAAAATTTTAAGATGAAAGTTGTGTTTTTCAAAAGCTTAGTATTATATTTAAAACTTGATAAGCTTGCTTTATTTAAAAAAATGTAATTATTTGGATGTTTATTTAATATCTGTAGGTAGCTCATGAAAAGCTGATGGAGAATGGCAGCTGTGAATTGAATTTTTTAGCTACTCTAGCTCAAGAGACTGGGGTATGGAAAAACCCGGTACTGTGCACTATTCTTTCCCAGGAACCATTGGATAAGGATAAAGGTAAATTTTTGAGAGAGAGAGAGATTTTTTTAAGGAATTAAAAGTTGTTTTGATAAATTTATCTCAAAATATCCCGAAGAAGGATCATGTAATTCAGTATCATCTGAGGTGCTTGAGGCCCTTCTCCTTTAATTACTTTGTTTTGAGGAAAATGTATTCATACAATTATAGATTCTTAAAGTAACAATGAAACTAAAACTTATTCCTAATATCTTTTCCACAGAGGAATCCCCTCTGCAGTATCCCTGGCAGGTAGTAATCTAGCCTTCATTTGGTAAGCTAATTTATATGACAGAAGAACAAATAGAGCTGTGAAATGATTTTCCTTAAGAGAAAGTAAGAAATCACTGCTAGGATGTGAAACTTTCTGTCCCCGAGATTAGTACTGTTCAAACAGATTGTTTCCTAACTCTTACTTTGTTCTGCTATGTTGCTATCTTATAAATTCAGGCAATAAAAGATTCTGTCAATAATAACATATAATACTTAATGTTCAGAGTTCAAAAATAATATATACCATAAATAACATCATAGTTCTCTTTTAGGTATTTTTCTGTAGACTGTTTAGGAAAGTGCCTATATTTCAACTTAACTTTTCCAAAGATATTTAACAGCTGGAGAAAACAAAAAGTGTTTTTCCAAGTTTTTATTGGGAAAAAATTTTTTTAATTGCAGTATGTCTAATGGAAAAAGCGTATATTTACCACTGTAACCTTCTTCCATCTTGTATTGATGCTTTTCTTGGTGTCTGATGGCATGCTCTGAGACTTTGCTATGTAATAGCAAAAAGGTCATTTGAAAAAATAAGGCCATGAGAAGGCCAGGGCTTGTAAACTTTTCTAGAATTCTGGTATTTAATAAAAGGCCTCCTAGCTAATCTCTCAATTTCTCTTTAAACTGATTCCTCCTGGTTTTTACCGTTTTCTCTTTCATTGTACACTGCATCCTTTCATTGTAGTTCTAGAAGTGTTTCTCTTACTTAATTTTCGTAGGAAGTGTGTGAATATCCATAGGTTAGCTACAATGTTCTTAATTAAGATTTTGGAGAAATGAAAAATAGACTATCATTTTTTAAGATTTTAATCACTTAAAAAAATTCTAAGTTGAAAATTTTGTACATCAAGTTTTATTCCTAATATATTGACACCACTATGCTTTACTTTTAGTGTCAAAAGTATATAACTCTAATCTTTTCTGGTTTTAGAAATATAATGTATAAGAAAAAGTATTAAGCTATATAGTTCTTGTTTGAAAAAGTGCTTTTATATGCATGGTTTCATTTAACCTCCTGTGAACAAGGTAGAATCTGTATTATCCCTGTTATACAAATGAGAAAACAGAGGTTCAGAAAGTTTACTTGCCTTTTCCTAGTTCATCATTGCCAGTGGTGAAAGGCAGCTGAGACAGGAATTGAAATCATTCTTAAATCTCTTTTTTTTCCATTGTCCGTTTCTAGATCATTTTTACTAAGATCTTCAGTATGCTAAAGCAAGGAAACAAAGTCTTTACCTTAGCAGAGATTGAAACTTTATTTTAAAAGATAATTTGTTTAAATGTGCCTAACATTGCATCTATTCGCATTTGTCTCTGCCCATCTCTTTACTGCGTTATTTTTTGTTTTGTACTGCAGTAGCCATGAGAATAATTAGGACAGTGAAAGCCAAGCAATAAAGCAGTAAAAAGATGGGCAGAGACATCTGCTAACAAATGCATTGTTAAGCACATTCAAACAGTATCACTGATAAATAAAATTGGTCTTTATTTGAACACTTCTGGAAAAAGGTAATTCTAGTTCAATCCATTCTTAACCTGCTTTAAAAAAATCTTCATTGTGAAAATTGCATTCTTATAGGCTCCATATTTTGAATATATATACCCCTACGGTGTGGCGCTGTGGGTTAATGCGCCAGCCTGCAAAGCCATTTGAACTGCAAGGTTGGCGGTTCAAGCTCACCAGCTGCTCCTCAGAAACCCTATACAGGATCGCTATGGGTCAGGATTGACTCGAGAGCATTTAACAACAATAACAACACCCATACTACACAAAGTATAAGTTCCTCTGTTACTCAGTAGATTAAGATTTTTAAAGATAGCCATCATATCTTTACTCATCTACTCTTTTGAAGACTAAAAGCCTTCCTGATGTGGCATGATTTTAAGTCCACAATCATGATTTCCGCTCTCTGAATACATTTTATGTTTTTGTTATTCCCTTTAATTCTCAGAACAGAATTCTCAGAACAGAATGTGTACCCCAAATATGATCTGGCCAGCTTTGAAGTTAGTGAATGAAACTCTTAATTCCTTCATTCTAACAATGTATACTTAAGTGACCCTATGATGTGACATTTGAGTAGCCATATCATTCTCACAACTCAATGAGGTTACTAAAATCACAAAGTTCTTTTCTATTTTTTTAAGATCTGCTACTCTGGTAGCATCGTGGTTATGAATCAGGCTGTGAACCACAAGGTCAACAGTTCAAAACTGCCAGCTGTTCTGTAGGAGAAAGATGAGGCTTTCTGCTCCCATAAAGATTTACAACATTGGAAACCCTGTACAGGGTCTCTATGAGTTGGAACCGAAGCACATAACCACCCGAGTCCTGGTGTGGTGCTGTGAGTTAATGCGCCAGACTGCAAAGCCATTTGAACTGTAAGGTCGGTGGTTCAGGCTCACCAACTGCTCCTCGGAAACCCTCTACAGGGTCGATGTGGGTCGGAACCAACTCAACAGCACTTCACAACAACAACTCTAACATTGGAGTCTTACTAAGGTGCTGTGGGTTAATGCACTGGACTGCAAAGTTGGTTTGGACTTCAAAGTTGGTGGTTCAAGTTTACCGGCTGCTCCTCAGAAACCCTATAGAGTCTCTGTGGGTCGGGACCAACTCGATGGCACTTAACAACTCTTAAACTTATGCCTTTCCTCCATGTACATTTTTATACTTTGTCTTTTGGCATAGACACTCATTACTTTTTTTCCCCCTTTTAATTTCCTTGTGGAGTCCTGGTGTGCCACTGTGGGTTAATGCACCAGACTACAAAGTTGTTTGAACTGCTCACCCCCTGCTCCTCGGAAACTCTGTACACGGTTGCTTTGGGTTGGAATCGACTCAGTGACACTTAACAACAACAATTTTCTTGCGTTGGAGTCATTATTTCCTCTGCTTATCAAGAAACTTTCGAATTTGAGGGTTTTTTTCCCTTTTCAGTTTCCTTCATCAGATCTTGCATACACATTGTTAATAATAACAGATCTTAGAATAACATTAAAAGGGCATGTCCAAAAGTTGATCCTCTGAGAGTACTTAAGAGAAATCTACCTGCTTGCCTTGAGTCCTTTGGTCTTTGTATATGGCCTATGGTTCTCCTCTTAGTCTTTAAGGAATTTTTCACAGAGCTTAACAAGTGTTGAGATAGTGTTCTTTTGATAAGAATGTTCAATATTTAGGTGGTGGTTGTTGCTTATTGCTATCTAGTTGGTTCTGACTCATAACGGTCTGTGTAAGGTTTATAAGAAGTGGCTGGTGGGTTTGAACTACCAACATTGTAATAAGCAGTTCTGTGCTTTTCCTACAGCACCACACCAGGGCTGCAATATTGAGGTGGTGGTTCTTAAGTGCTGTCAGTCAGTTCTGACTCACAGCAACCAGTATATGATAGGGTTTCCAAGGAACAACTGGTGGATTTGAATTGCCGACCTTGTAGTTTTAATTCCATTGCTGATCCTATTTTATTATTTTTTAAATAAGATTTTAAAAAGATTTTTAGAATAGTTCTAGATTTATAGAAAAATTATGATGCTAGCATAGCTACCATATACATCACATCAAGACTCCCCTATTATGAACATCTTACTTTAGTATAGTATAGAGTACATTTGTCACTATTAATAAACCATTGTTGTTAAGTGACGATTAGTCAGTTCCGAACCACAGTGACTCTGTATAGGGTTTTCAAGGAGAGACTGAGGGGTTTGAACCACTAACATTGCAGTTAGTAGTCCAGTGTTTATCCTACAGTGCTAGACCAGGACTCCAATATTGTTACTTTATTTTCATAATTTATACTTAATGTGACCTACGGATAGATGCTCCTCTTAACTTAGGTTACCAAAATTACAATTCTTTTGTGGTTTTTCTTAATATGTGCTACTGGCACTACAGGATCAGTACTGGACTGTGAATCACAAGGTCAGCAGTTCAAACTCCCCAGCTGCTCCTTGGAAATCCTGTACAGGGTTGCTGAAAGTTGGAATAGACTCAATGGCACTTAACGACAACAACAGCAGCAGCAGTGCTTCAGTCATACACCTTTATTCTTAGTAACTAAAGTCTATAATTCCTGTTACCCGTTGCCCTTTTTTTGTTCCAAGTTCCCATCCAGGAAACATTACATTTAGTCATCGTGTCTCCATAGGCTCCTCTTGGCTATGACAGATTTTCAGACTTGCCTTGTTTTGATAACTTTGACAGCTGCGACAAGTACTGGTATTTTGTAGAAAAGTCCCTCAATTAGAGTTTGTCTAATATGTTTGGTAAGATGAGGGTCAGAGAAAAAGAGGAAGATCCCCAATGAGATGGATTGGCCAGGTGGCAGCATCGATGGACTCAGTGTGGCAGCAGTAGTGAGGTTAGCCCAGGCTCGGACATTGTTTCGTTCTGCTGTGCATAAGGTGGACATGAGTCGGTGCCGACTCAATGGCACCTATCAACAACAAATAATTTTCTCATGCTTAAGTACCAGTTATGGGTTTGTGGGAGACAGACCACATGGTAAAATGCCATTCTTGTCACATCATACCAAGGGTACATATTGTCAACATATCTTATCACTGGTGACCTTACCCTGCATCTGAGGTAGTGTTTTTCAGGATTATCTGCTGTTAGTTTCTCTTCCCACCCTGTTTCCATAGTTAACTCATTGGGTGTTATTGTTGTTAAGTGCCGTCTACTTGAGTCTTGGTGTGGCGCTGTAGGCTAATGCATCAGACTACAA